AACAAAACAAAATAATATGGAGATCAGCAAGACAACTGAAATCTTGTATATTATGTTCCCATTAAAGAGCTTGTTAAGCATTATCAAAATTATCTTTATTTCCAATATGTTATGACATGTAGCGTGTGTAATGGTTGCAACTCTGGCTAGTGGAGCCAGACTGTCTGGTTCACCTACTTAACCAGCTGTGTAATGTTTGTGATATTTGTCAGATTATTTATGTTTCTATGTCTGTTTCATCTTTAGAGAGAATGCCAGTGGCAGCCACTTCATGGGGGGTGATTTTCGGGATTAACAGTGTATATAAAGAGCCCTTAACAGTGTCGCCTCTGTCCCATGGGTGCTGTTTGTTACTTGTCTGTCACTGTTTATCCTTTATTGTATAGCTTTTAAAAATGTATAATTTGCATTTATTTATTTGTGTGTGTGCATGTATGTACATGTACGCACATGCACTCACACATGCACTTGTGTATGTTTGAGGGGTCCAGAAGAAGGCATTAGATTCTCTGAATCTGGAGTTAGAGGTCCTTGGGAGCTTCTCTCTTAACCTCAGTGCTCAGAATCAAGTTCAGGTTCTCTGCAGGAGCAGTAATAGCTTCTAACTGGTGAGCTCTCTCTCCAGTCTCTTAATATAACCTCTCTTTTTAAGATGCATGATGTAAATGTTCCATGTAGAAGTCACTTTTCTGTAACATCAAATAAATGAGAAATTAAAATGAAACACTCATTATCAAGGGTTGCTATGCTTTATGGTAGTATATTAAACATTAATCATAAGATTACATGGAAGATTGAATAATATAGTTCTGGTGACAAGGTGTAGCTTGTAAACTTCTGGCCTAGCATGCATGAGGCCCTGGGTTCCATCCCATTAACATAATACCATATACTTCTAATCCTAGCTCTGGGAAGGCAGATACAGGAAGATTAGGAGCTTAGCATCTTGGAGGGGGACAGAGTAAGTGTAGTTAGTTGTTCAGAGCTCTGAGACAAAAGTCCTAACTTCATTTGTGGGAACAATGTGTGGCTTAGTGTGGGGCTTTTTGTGATGGTCAGTCTTCCTGGTCAACTGGGTGAGATTAAAATCTCAGAGGAGACAGTTGTTTGTATTTTTAACAGAGGAGGAAAGACCCACTGTGAATGTGGAGGCATCATCCCAAGGCCTGCTTAGAAAGGAGAAAGTGGGTGGAGCACCAGCATTCCCTCTCTGCTTCCTGACTGGATATGATGTGATCATCTGCTTCACGCTCCTGACCCCACAGCTAGAACTGCTCTCTCCTTCCCTACCATGATGATCTGTACCCTCAAACCACCAAGTCTTAAAAAAAGAAAAGAAAAAGTAAAGAAAAAATGTTCTTGGTCAGCCTAGCTATATGAGATACTGTCTCAGAAAACAACACAAAAAAATTTCTGCCGGCCTCACTCCCAGCACTCGGGCATTCTGCAAACATTTCTAAGTTTCTGCTTGGGGACATAGACTAGGTTAATTAGTGTCACCTCAGCTGGTCCCCAGACTGCTGATGCATTTCCACACCATTGTTTTGTTGTCTTTTTATTGGGAACATTTCCTTGACCGTTTTCTTTGAGTATCAAAAGAAGTTTAGTCTGTGGTTGGAAAAAATGCCTCTAACCTGCCAACCAAACTTGAAATTGCATAAGAAAATGAGTGTTGATGCTGAGAAATGGTGTGTAGGCAACAGCTCTCTTGTTCTGTGTGCAAACCGTGATGAAATACAAGCAACACATGTGGGACTGCTCCTGCTTTATTTTTGTTTTGAAAGAGCTTTGGCTAGAAAGAACCATTTCTGCTGCTTAATACACTTCATTCTATTTAGGCATGGGATCTGCTTGGCAGTCAGTACAGGGACAACACAGAACTAATGCTGTACAAAGTTCCTTGTTCCTCTTTCTTTGTGTTGAAATTTAACAGCCATGACTTGTAGGTCGAGGACAGTCTTTAGTGACCTGTGACCTCCTGAGGTTCTCTGTAGAATTTCATTCTCCTTTTCCAGTTTTTATTATACAAAGTTATTAACCAGTCATGGGTCTGTCTCTCTCCCTCTTTGTCTGTCTCACTCACACCCCTTAAAACTGAGCACCTAGCTTTTCTTGGCTGTGCACCCTGGGAGCACTCACCTCACTCTTAGACTGTGAGACTCTCTCCACCATCTGGCTCCACAGTCTTTTTTTTCCCAACCTGAACCCCAGTGCACTGAACAACAGCATTCCTAACTCCCTCTTGCCCTCAGCCCTGACGATTACTATCCATTTTTTGTGTCTGAACTTTACTGCTTTACCTGCCTTCTCTTTGGACTTAACATCCTTTTAGTCCATTTGTGATTGCTTTTTACACTTGATGTTGAATCTTCATGATTCTCCCAAGGGGTAGCATGTTGCTGATTTCATTTGTTAAGGCCTCCATTCTATGTACATACCAGAATTGCTTTGTGTGTTCCAATTCTGACCACTATTTGTGTTGCTTTGGCATTTTTCCTATTGAAAATATTATTTACTGTAAACCTTGTTAAACACATATGTATTAAGTCTTTATGCATATATAGTTCTTGTTTCTATGCTCAGAATGTAATTTCTATATCATATCATTGTTGTACTTTGCTCTAACTTTTGGAGGAACCACTCTGTTTTCTGTAGACACTTCCCCAGCTTGTAGAATTCCATGTCCTTCTTTCTTGAGAGTTGATCGGTGGTCAGCCTGAAAGCATCCAAAGAAGCCTCCTTTACAGTATATAGTCAACAAAAGACTATTCTTGATTTCTCCATATGCAAAGCAGTGATTATTGTAGGTATTCATTATATGAAATCTATCTTCCTGTTTTCTGTTTACACTATAGTTTTTGGGTGGATGCAATATAAGTCATTACCTTCAACTTTAGTCATACAGTTTACCATAAAAAGACCACCTCAGCAGTAGGTAGAATCTGTGTGCAGGTATCTGGGGAAAATTTTTTAAGGTTCCCAAAGACTGAAATAAGAGAAAACAAATATTAGAATCACCAGATGTTTCACCCCAAGGTCTATTCTGACAGCATGAGAGTGCACTGGCAGTAACAGTTGTGATTTCTCAAGTGAGGATGTGCAAGTACCACTGTGTATCTTCAGATACTTTGATCAGTTGTTTTCTTTAAATTCTTTTTTAGATTTGTTTTATTTTATGCATATGAATATTTTACCTGAGTGTGTATCTGGGCACTACTTGCATATAGGGTGTCCTTTGTGTTCAGAAAAGGGCATCTTTTAGAACTGGTGTTAGGAGTGATTGTGAGCTGTAGTGTGGGTGCTGGGAACCAAAACTGGTAAGAGCAACAAGTGGTCTAAATTGTAGAACAATCTCCAGCTCCTGATGGATAATTTTCAGTGTGAATATTTTTCAATTTAAAATAAAAACAAAAATACCTCCCACAAAGCTAAAGTGTTCCTAGCCTAGAAAAATGACTCAGCTGTCAAGAGAACTTGCTGCTCTCATAGAGAGGACCTTGGTTGGTTTCCCAGCATCCATGTTGGGTGGCTTACAACTGCCTGGAACTGTAGCTCCATGGGTTCTTAATGCCTCTTCTGGCCTGAGTGGATACCTATACATGTATGTTGTACATGCACATGGACAGGCAGACAAACAGATATAAGTAAAATTGTAATAAATCTTTTTTTTTTCTTGAAAAGTAATTTGATAATTGTAGTTAGACGTTTCTCTGTCTGGCCCGGCCCCATAGCTGCTTCCAAATAGTCACTTAGAGGCCTATATAAATTATTAATGCTCAACCAACAGCTCAGGCTTATTACTAGTTAACTCTTACATTTAAATTAACCCATATTTCTACCAATGTTTTGTCACGTGGCTCAAGTCGTTTTACCTCATTTTCAACACATCCTGCCTATTTGGTGGTTGGCTGCCATCTTTCTCAACTCCGCCCCTCCTAATTTGAGTCTCAGTTTGATTGTTCTGCCTAACATTATTCTCCCTGGCCCTTGGTCGAACAGCACTTTTTTTTTAAAGTTAATTTATTTTTTACTTTCAAATTCCAGTCCCATGTTCATGCTCTCCTCATGCTCCACCCCCACACCTTCCATCTGCTCCTTGGAGAGGGCAAGGCTTCCCCTGGGAAGTTTACCAAGTCTGTCCCATTATCTTGTTGAGGCAGGACCAAGGCACCTTTCCAAACCCCACACCCGTGTCTAGGCTGAGCAAGGTACCTCTCCATATAGAATGGGCTCCACTAAGTCTGTTTGTACATTAGAGTTAGGTCTTGGGCTCACTGCCAATGGTCTCATATATTGTCTCAGTCACACCATTGTCACCTGTATTAAGGGAGTCTAGTTTGGTCATATGCAGGTTCCCCACTTGTCACACCAGAGTCAGTGATCGCTCACTAACTTGGCTCAGGTGATTCTGTGGGTTTCCCGATCATGGTCCTGACTCCTTTGTTCATATTATATTATCGCTCCTTCCTCACTTTGATTATACTCCAGGTGCTTGTTCCAATGATTAGTTGTGGATTTCTGCATCTGCTTTCATCTGTTTCTGGAAGAGGGTTCTAGCTTCTCTGGGGTTGTGGATTGTAGACAGTATCTTTTGCTTTATGTCTTGTTTCCACTTATGCATGAGTACATATATATATTTGTCTTTTTGGGTCTAGATTATGTCACTCAGGGTGTTTTTTGTTTGTTTGTTTGTTTTTTCTTCTAATTCTGTCCATTTGCCTGCAAACTTCAAGATGCCATTGTTTCTTACTGCTGAGTAGTACTCCATTGTGTAAATGTACCACATTTTCTTTATCTGTTCTTCATTTGAGGGTCATCTAGGCCGTTTCCAAGATCTCATTATTAAGAATAATGTTGTTGTGAACATAATTGAGCAAATGTCTGTGTGGTGTGAATGTGCCTCCTTTGGGTATATGTCCAACGGTGGTATTTATTACAGGGTCTTGAGGTAGGTTGATCCATAATTTTCTGAGAAATTGCCATACTGATTTACATAGTGGAAAAATATGGAATGCTTCATGAATTTGCCTGCCATCCTTGTGCAGGAGCCACTTTAATCGTCTCCGTATTGTTCCAATTTTAGTATATGTGTTGCCGAAGCAAGCGCTCTCACACAGTTTTAGTATTAACCAATGAGAAGAATATATATTCACAGTGTACAGAAAGATCATCCCATGGCAGAATAACCGTGTCTCATTTTTCCTTTTTCTAAATAAATAAAAGTAACTCAGTGACAAGTCAGAGAAAACACAGCATTTGGTGTCTTGGGCTCTGAAGCTCCTTCATTGGTTGATGGAGGGAATACAGTGCTGAGCTGCTGCCAGAGATTAGATAGTTCACGTTCTGCTCACAAAGATGGTGAACTTGTATGGTGTGTCTCACAGCGATTCTCTTTAAGTAGATGAGCTTTAGAAACATCTGAGACCAATTTTAAAATTTGATATAAACTAACATTTAAAATAGCAAGACTACAATGAAAATGAATTGTCTTCCCCCAGAATATGGGAAATGGGCCACACCTCTGGACTCCCCTCTGCTTTCTATACTTCCAGGCTTCTTCTGGAGGGTTAGGGTTACAGATGGATGGGGGCCTGTGTATACTGTAATGCTGTCTTTACAAGGAAGAAAGGTTGCCGTGGCAGTATTAAGCTGAATTTCAATCTGTGTTTTTCTTCTTGGGATCTATTATACAAATTGGGTGGTTTTTATTTATTTTTTTTTAGCTGTAAAATTAGAATAATGACTTTGGCGAGTATATGTTTGAAGTTTTTAATCTCTATTTCTTTTTCTTTTGATTTCCCACAAATTCAGAAATTTGAACAATTCTCTACACAGTCCTTTCTACAGGGCCTTGGTTGTATACCTGTTCTGTAATTCTTTTGTGTTTGATGAAGGGACTGTTTCTTCATTGTTTCTACCTGGTGTGACCTAATACCAAGCATTCTGAAAGTTGGCAACTAGAAAAATTGCAAAAGTTAAAGATTGTCCCAGAGTTAGATGTGGTGGCACACACCTGTCATCCTAGCTGAAAAAGGAGGACCCTGAGTTAGGCCAGCCTGGCTACATAGAGAGATTCTGTCTCCAGAAATATTTTTCATGGTTAAAGAGGGTTTAAAATTTAGTTGTTTCTTTAGTGTTAATGATGGATGTTAGTAAGAATGTTGATTATTTGGTCTATGTATCTCTACTTGAAACTTTTTCACTGTATTTCCCCCTTACAGTCTAAGGATCAAATGGCCCAGTTTGTAATCTGGTCACAATTTCTAGAACAGAAATGTTCCATTGCAAGCATAAAGCAGTATCTCCCCAGGAATGTTCAGTGCATTTCCTTGATAGGAATTTTGCCCTATGTACTGTCTTGTGCTAATGGCAGCTTCTATGTGAATGCTGAGTGCCAACTGACTTTGGTTGAACATACTTCCCCAGACTCAGCATTCATTGAACGGGGAGTGGAATGTTTGAATGAGCCATACTGTGTACTCCTGTGCAGGTTCTGGCATGTATTACTTTTGAGCTTTTTAAACTACATGAGAGAAAAGTAGATTCTTGAACAAAATCTTGCTGGCTCTCTTCTTCTCTCCCCACCCCCTCTAAGAGGGTTAGATTAATTGCTGGGTGGAATCTAGCCAAATGCAGTATAATTCATCCCCCTTTCTCTCAGACAGACAAGCACTTCTCAATACCCTCTCACAACTTGCACACAATCTTTAGTTTTCTTTATTTATTTAAAGTAATTTTATTGCTTGAGCACACAGGGTAAATTTATGTGTCTAGACTAGACAGTGAGGAAGGCAAAGGGAAGAAAATGGGTGAGTAACTGCGATTAGTACTGCTCTTGAGTATCTACTAACATAACTCACCCTTCTAATGAAGCTGCAATCCTCATAGCTGAGATCAACAACACAATGCACATAAATGCACCCAGCTGAGTGAGAATTCAGAGTCAGTTCTTAGTACTTACATATATATATATATATATATATAGTGTGGTGATTGGCAGTGCTCACTCAGACATGCAAGGAAGAACTGGCCATCAGGAGGAAATACCTTTCTGGTGCAAACCTGCTGTAATTCATTCTCTTCCCTCCTAGATAGTCATACACACCTCCACACCCTTACCTGCTCATATTCCTCAGGAAAACATGAACTTCAGAGATATCACATCACTACTTCCCGAGTAGAAGCACTCAGAGTCTCCACTAGCTCCAAGATTAGGATCTCTCCGTGGTCCTTGGTCCCTCTAAGAGGTCTGTAGTAATGCTTCCTGGTCATGAAATGTCTAGCTAAAGAGTCACTCATTTATGTTTGAAGCAAGCACCACAGTGATTACAGTCAGCAACACTTCACTTTAAAAGAAGGGTAGTAGGAAATGATAGAAGAGATGAGAAGATTGACAGAGAGTAAGGGGATTTGGTAGGAACTGGAAGTGGGAGGAAGGAGTGGAACAAAACAAAACAAAACAATACTTACGAAGCAAAAATGAACTTCCTATCCCACTCCCAACCTCAAATCAGAGGACCACTTCAGTGGATGCAGCTGTAGTACCCCATGTCCCCTTACTGTCAAGTTTCTCACCGGAAAAAATAGAGCTTGAACCCTGGAACCCAGAAGGCCACCTAAGAAGATGACGATGTACTATGTAGCAGGAGCCTGCTTCCTTGACCTTGTATTAACAACTCCTTCTTCCTGCCCTTCTTATTGAGCCAGTGTTCGAAAAGACACCATGTGTTTTTGCTCCCTCAGGCTTTTCCTCTTCTGTCTTCAAAGTAAATGATGGAAAAGGCGAATAGGACAGGCCACCCCAGCAGGTGACTGAAAAGCCTTGAAATAAACCAAACAGACAAATCCCTTACAAAGTCTGCATGATGGGCAGGGATTCCCTTATCATATTACCAACAGTATAATGTTCACGTGTGCTGTGAACATAGTATCACAAAATTGTTTTACATATAAAAAAGGAAAAGCAGCACCATTCAGGTAATGAAATAGGGAAGTCGAGGTTATGCTGTGACTATTCCATGTCAAATTATATGCCAGAACAGCTGGGAAGAAATAGAGGAAGGATTCAGGTCTCTTCTACTGCAACTTTGCCTCTGCCACCAGATAGCTGCATCAGCATTAAACAGAGGGATTGTTACCACTTCTTCATAAGTTCCTCCTGACTAACTCATCTCAAAACAGATGTTTTTGTCTGGGTGGGTGTGTTATGTACTTTTATATTACTGCAATAAAGCACCAGAGCTAAGGCAAGTTATAGAAGAGAGGATTTATTTGGGCTTACGATTCCAGAGTAGTCCATGATAGTGGAGCAAATGCATGGTGGCATAACCAGAAAACTGTGGACTTTTCTCTTGAACCAGAGCAGGAAGTAGAGAGAACAGCCAGCTGGTGGTGTGCACATTTGAAAGCTTTAAGCCTGCCTCCAATGCTATACTTCTTCCAGAAAGGCCACACCCCCTAGACCCAAGCACCATCAACTCAGCAGCAAGTGTTCGATATCTGACACTATACAGGATATCTCTTTCAAACCACTGTGTTGGGTATTCTGGGAATGAATACAGGGTTTCCAGCTTGGTTGGCAAATACTATACCATGGATATAAACTCTAGCCCCAACATTTGAGTTCTTAAATTGACTTATTTCTCTTATCTGAGATGTATTTCTCCCTTTCCAGACTTAATATTTCTAAAATTAGCAGTCTTTCATAAATGATTAAGTTTATTGTTTTAAAAGTGCCCCCCCCCCGGACTGGTTTCTCTGTGTTGCTTTGGAGTCTATCCTGGCACTCGAACTCACAGAGATCCACCTGCCTCTGCCTCCCGAGTGCTGGGATTAAAGGTGTGCTTAACTGTTTGCCTACATGCATATGTGTGTATCAAATGCATGCTTGGTGCCCTCAGAGGCCAGAAAAGTGTCTTGAATCCCTAGAATCGGAGTTACATGAAGTTGTGAGGTCCCATGTGGGTATTGGTAACCAAACCTGGGTCTGCTACATATGTAGCTAGTGCTCTGAATTCCTGAGCCATCTCTCCCCTCCCCTCCCCCCCCCAGAGGTAGTGCTTTTAAGAATCTGCTAAACCCCTTCCCCAGAACTGCTCTTTACTAAAGGCCTGAAAGGGAAGTACACTTCTCACATGCCTTGTCTCACATGCCTTGGGGGTATCAACATGATAGCCCGGGACTGGACAGCACAGAGCTATGGCATTCCTTTTGTCTCTCTGGTAATAGTATTTGTCTTTGTTCTGCTTTTTGTAGTCAGTTCAAAAAGTAGAGACAGATATTGGATTCTAGTTAAAGTATTGTAATTTTCAGTATTTCTCTTCCAGTCCTTTCCTTCAGATTTGGAGAATATGTTGAGGTATGAATGCCAGGCCACTGTATACATGCCTAGGCTTTGCTTTTCTGTTTTCTGTTTAAAATCCTCATCTCTATTCCTCAGGAAATTACTCTGTTATTGACCCAAACAATTTAAATTCTTACATGTTAGACCTCTATCTGAAATTAACTTTCTAGTTTCAAAACTTGATATAACAATCCCCCCCCCCTTTATCAGGATGTTTTATCCTAGGCATCAAAATTGGGCACCTGTTAAACAGTATAGAATTAGATCCAAGCAGCGTTTCCTATAGATTTCACCTTGGCACAGGTCAGGCTTCAGATCTGCAGAGGAAGCAAAAGCAGCAGTGTTGTTGCTGTTTCTTATTTTCAGCTGTAGCTTGATGTCTGTTCTTCAGAGTGTTGAGTTGGTTTGGTTAGCATGTGGCTCAATGGGATCATCATCAATGAGGTCAGTCTTTGCTGCTGATTACTTCCCATATGATGACCTTAGAATATCTGTGAGTGTAACTATCAAGTGTTTTCAAGTGTTTTGTACTTAACAGCAGATCAGTGCTGTGAATTCACAGGAAATAAATGCTGTGTCTCACCTAATCATCTCATGAATTTGGATTTACCTCAGACATATGTAATATCACCACTACTAAAAGTATTTATGGAAGCATGTTCCGTTTATATCCTTACGTACTCTATTCATTAAGCCTAGCTAGTAAAGGGGCCAGGTATCTGTGCCTAAATAGAAAGCCAAGCCCTAAACAAGCAGTCTCAC